CTCGCGCCAGGCCTTTGAGTAGAAGCGGCCACCCCATTATACCACCACCGTCAAGGTATCTTAAAGGAGGCATCGACGAGGCCCGAGGAAGAACCTGGAAATTGTAGAAGATCTGATAATGCCGTCGCCATTTGGACACGTACACCATGGGAGTACCATCTGGAACTGTGGTGATACCATCTTGGATTTAGGATACCAGTAATTGGATTGAGTACTGTGGTTTTGGTGTTGGATGTTTTTACTATGTTTTTATATGTTTTTACCTATGGCAAGGCTAACGACCTTGCCCTTGTTAGCCGCCCTGAGCCCATTGGGGAGGGCGGGATACAAATGAGAAAAATAAATAACTAATAAATAAATAAACAAATAAACCTTTGTTGGTCTTAAAGGTGCCACTGGACTCTACGTTTAGTGTGTTGGTGAGTCAGACTAGGATCTGGGGGGGTCCAGTTTCAAATCCCCGCTCAGCCACGGAAACTCACTGGGTGACTTTGGGCCAGTTGTACAATCTCAGCCTAGCCTACCTCACAGGGTTGTTGTGAGGATAAATGGGAGGTGAAGAGAGCAGTGTAAGTTTCGGGTCCCTATTGGGGAGAAACGTTGGATGAAATAAATAAATAATCCCCCCCAAAATTCAAATAAGAATTTATCATCTGTTGAGCAACTCCCAATCGAGAATAACATTCAGACCCCTCCCCCCAAAAAATAAAACATCCAAGGGAGAAAAAAAACCAAGTGAAATCAGTGGGGGATAATAGGGTTTTCAGAAACCAGATTAATAGTGCCATCCTAAACAGTCCCGTCTAATCCTGTCGGAGTCCGTGGGCTTAGAAAGGTGAAACTCTGTTTAGGATGGCAGGATAAATCCTGTCACCTTTGGAAGTTGTCGAGTCTTGTGGGTTTGCTGAAACCAAGCCTCTCTTGGAAACGGCTGCTGTGTTTCCTTTTGGTTTCCTCAGCAGCCCAGTGACCGAAAATCAAAACAGCAAAAGATTAATCTGATAAACCCGCGGCCACAAGCCATCTGGTGTTGGGGAATTTGATGTCTGAGCTCACCCTGGAAGCCCTTCATTCCCGCCTCCCACTTTAATGCAGCTGAGAACCCAAAGCTTGGATTTCTCTGCAGTGGGATGTAGGGATGTGCGTTACTGATTATTTCAGCCAGAGGCTTCCTTTTCAGCCAGAGGAACAGCCCAACACTGGCGCGAAAGTGTACCCGGGACGTACGTTTGCAGTATCTGAAGGGTTAACGGTCCCAAATGTTTTCCGAACGTAGGTAGGCACTTTGCAGATGCTGTTGGCTCAAAATTGACTTAACACTCAGATTGCTTTCCGAGGCTTGGAATACACATCTCCGAATAATGACAAGGTGAGTACCAACGGTGAGGCAGTGCTTTTGAAGCTATTTGAACAGATCCCTTTCTTATACTTTCCTCTGCCTGAGTCTTCAGCTTTCTGCATGTGATAGTAAATACAAATGATCTGAAATCTGTTTTTAACCAGCCTTTAACTGAGGAACAGAGCCAGTGGGAACTGATTCTAACATTGATGTTTGTGGGTTTAGAAAGGTGTAACTTAGGACAGTACTGTAAATTGCTTGTGTTGGACCAGACTCATTCAAGGTGAGAGCTGTGACCTTTGGGCCAAAAATTTAAGCAGATCTGATCCAAGAGAGCGATACTGCTGTTGTTTCAGTGTTCACGCAGTAAAGGTGTATGATTTTGCAAAGTACAGTTTGTCACATTCCACTGTTCTAAATCCCCTTTTCTGTGACTGTGCATAGACTTCGGAACATCTTGCAGGAGAAGCCAGTAGTCACGTGGAATTCCCAGTTCTCCTCGAATGAACATTTCCATTAGCAGCTTGTCTTTTTAAAACCCATGCTTCGTTTGCTCTGATGATTTAGCTCTGCAATATAATTCTGGGTGTTCGTTTGCACTGTACTCTTTGTTGACTTCTACATGCGCATTACATCATGATTTCATTGGTTTTCTGTTGTCATTTTTGCAGTTGCTGTTAGGAGTTTTAGTCCGGTGGAAGTTGGGTTTAAAACAGGGCAACAGCCTCTGGGAGAAGCAAAACAGTACTTTTAAAACAACATTTCCTAACAAAACGTTAATGCTCCCCCACCCCATCCTATCACCATCATTAAGAAAGATGGTGAGTGGCTCATGATGGTGGAAGTTCCAGCTGCTTTATGGTGATTGTCAAGGCAAGAGATGTACAGAGATAATTTGCCATTCCCTGCCTCTGCTGAGCAATCCTGGGCTTTTGTGGTGGTCTCCTAGTCCATTCCAAAGACTTGTAAACAGAGATTTATGATAGCTGCCCTGTAGTTAGGGAATGCTGGAATGCTCTTGGAGATTCACCAAAGTCTGAACCTGTGCAGCTTCCATATGAAGCTTAAGATTTTTGTTCTGGTCTTTCAGTTTGCAAGTTTAAGTTGAGGAATTAGAGGTGTATTGGATTTTGGTTTGGTTTGATTCAGTTTAGGCTGATCCTGACATTATATATGCATGTTCCTATGTTGTGTCTCTATTAATTTGACATCATTTTATTTGCTTCTGCTAGCTGTGTTGTGTGGGGGGGGTTGCTATTATGGACACTAAGTGCAATCCTAAACTGAGTTGGATCTTGTGACAGACTGCACTTTTAAAAGCTTAGAAGTGCTGTGTAAATAGATAAAGGACCGTGAAGGGTTAATTCTTCACAGAGCAAGAGTGCCTTGAGTGACAGGCTGTTCCAAGAGATCTGGATGGTTAGCATCAGCTGGGCAGAGAAAGACTTCTGAACTGGATGCGGAGGAGAGATGCAGCCTGATTCCAGCCCTAGCTGAGAAGAGTCAAGTACTGACAGTTTTGGAATTCAGCCATCACTGAGAGCAGTTTAACACAGACAGGAGAACTGGGGAAAGTTGGCAAGGAAGTTTGAGAAGTAGGCAAAGTAGGTACCTGGGCTGAGGCAGCAGCCAAAATACCGTACTGTGACAGGGTGAAGTCTGTGTGCTTAGAAGAATATAGCTCTGTTTAGGATTGCACAGGAAAGCATTTTGCAGATTAAAAAGCACTTGCAGCGGAAAGAAAGCCCCTGTCCTTGATCACGGGGATTTCTGTTTGGCTCACTGCTACCTATTTTGACCAGATGTTGCCTACAGATATCCAAGACTACCTTTGCAGGCATGAAGACCAGAAAGGTGCTTTTTAAAAAAATGCAAGAAGGTGGAGATTCTCAGGTAGATGAATTTGGCATCCTTATGCCAGGGAGGTGTGCCCGGTCCTTTCTCTTTCGATATTTAGAAGGCCATTGGAGCTGGTTTCATTTAGGATGGCATTTGATTCATTTAATTTTTTCCTATTTATTAGCTGTCAGAAATTGTGATTTTAAATTGTGGGGTTTTAAAATGCATTTTTATGGTTCTTGTTTTGTTTCTATTGTAACCCACCTCAAGTTAAAAAGATGGCTAATAAAGGTTTTTAATAAATAAAAATGGGGCAGTGTCTCTGCCTGACACAGAGAGCCCTGAGTATAGATTACTTCCAATGTTTGCAGCCCAACAGATTGCTCCTGCGTTAGTGCTTGGGTGGTCTGAAATCAGACAGCCAGAGCTAGGCAAGTGAAACATTAATTTGCAAAGATCCAGGATGTAGTGAAATCCTTTATTGCTTTGGCCTCTGCTTCTCACCAGTCCTTGGGGATGTTTCCTTATGTTGACACAGCCAGCCGTTTTTGGTCCGCCCACTTCAAGTACAAGCCCTAACAATGTGTTTGTTTCTCTGATACCATTTCTTTGCCATTGAGATGTACATTCCAATGTGCAGACAGCATTTGAAAACATGAACATTTTATGGAAAAATCATTTGATACAAGGAAACAGCCAGTGTCCCCCAAAAAGAGTCCAAAAAGGACTCGGTTTGTGCACAGGGGAAAGTGAAATCTAAACAAGGTGGGATTTTTCAGATGAAGCCATTGGAGTGAGAAGTTCAGTAGCTTTGGAATAGCGGACTGCGTATCTTAACCGTCTGGTCCTGAGCTCTAACTTAGTGAGCTTATCCAGGGTTCTGTTTGCTCGGAACTCGGAACTCTTTTCAGTCTCTATTGCAGGTGTTTCGCATCAGCCTCTTTGATAGGCTGGTTATTGTGTGGCCATTGGATTGGTCAAGATGGATTGGGGATGGGGTCATGGCTCAATGGGGAGAGCTGCATCTACTTTGTACACAGGAATGGTTCAGTGCTCAGTGTCTCCAGTTAAAAGGACCAAGCAGTAGGTGATGTGAAAGGATATCTGCCAGAGACCCTGGAGAGACACTGCCAGTCTGAGTAGACGAGACAGACCTTGATGGACCAAGGCACCTTCATGTATATGTGTGTTCATGTATGACCCTGTGTGCTCCAGACGTGATCGGTCACCAGGGCTTTTTTTTGTAGAAAAAGCCCAGCAGGAACTCATTAGCATAATAGGCCACACCCAACAGCAGAAACATATTAGCATATTAGGCCACACCCCTGGCAGCACAGCTCATTAGCCTATTAGGCCACACCCCACATGTTACCAGAAGTGTGGTCATCCAACCACACCCACCTTTTGCTTCTTATTCTGTTTACCTTTGTTGTCAAAACACAGGGCTTTTTTTGTAGCAGGAACTCCTTTGCATGTTAGGCCACAGACCCCTAATGTAGCCAATCCTAATGAGTGTCTGCTGTTAGGTGTGGCCTATTATGCTAATGAGTCCCTGCTGGGCGTGGCCAACTCAGGAGCCAGCAGGAACTCCGTTCCTGTGCGTTCCTGCCCAAAAATAGCCCTGTCAGTCACCCACATTCCTGATTTGGCTCTGATGCTATGCTGGGACCTCAAATTGTGATTTGCTTGTAGCCAGGATAAGCTCCAGCTTTTCTGCTCCAGCTTTTCTGCATCTTGTCGCCTCCCCTTCTGCAAAGGCAGCGTCGAGCTGGCGATGGCATTCTGGCACCTTTCCGCCCTTTGGCTCATCTTTCCACTTGTCCTTCACACATTCTCTGAGGCTGGAGGATGTCCCTGCAGGGATTATCGAATGCCTTTGCAACTTAATGGTGCAAATCCCTGCAGCCCTCTCGGATGTCTCCCTGATTTGAGCTGCCGCTTGAATAATTAAGGAGGAAGGCTTAGTCAGTCTCAATCAGTAATTCAATCGGCATTGTCCCAGGGTCTTTACTAACAGCTGGAGAGTGTGCCAAAGTCGTTCCTTTATTTCTGGGTGTCTTAAAACCTCCCTGCGATGTTGTCCTTTGCAAACAGGGACTGCGTTTGATTTGCTTATAGAGACGGTCTGTGTGTGAATTCATCTTTTAAACATTATTTTACAAAGATTGTATTTACTTCTTTTATACCTCAATTTTATCCCTCATAGTAACTCCGAGTGGCCTTCAATATTTTGCCCTTCTCCATTTTATTCTCACACCAGCCCTGTGGGGTAGGTCAGGCTGAGAGCATACAACTGGCCCAAGGTCACCCAGTGAGCTTCTGTTGTACAGTGGGGATTCGAGCCTGGGTCTCCCAGATCCTAGTCTAACCCCTCCAACACACTGGCTCTATAACGTGGGGTATTTTGACGGATTAATGAGATAGTGCCTGCAAACTGCTTTGAATGCTCTATTTATATATTTTTTCAAAGTTTATTTATAGATTTTCCATTACAAAAAAGAAAATTTCATTTGGTACATAACATTCTTGGGAGTATATATTATACATTTCCCCCCGTCCATTTATTTACTTTAGTCCACCTTTTCTGAAAAGTCTTGTCATCTTTCCCTGCTAATATCATATTTACTTTGTCCATTTCCACTATTTCAAGGATTTTTTCAATTATCTCAACTCTTCTGGGTATTATATCCGTCTTCCATTTTTTTGCTACTAGGATTCTGCTCACCGTGAGAATATATAGAATAATACATAGGTCATCTCTATTACTTACATCTAGTATCATATTAAGGAGGAAAGTTTCTGGAAGAAGTTGCAATTCTATGTCTGTAACCTCTTTTATCAGTTTTTTTAACCATTTTCCAAAAATAATTATTTTATCACACCTCCACCATGTGTGGTAATAAGTTCCTATATTATTTTTACATCTCCAGCAGGTTCCTGATACATTCTTATAACATTTGGCTAACTTATCTAGTGTCCAGTGCCATGTATAGAATAATTTAAGTAGATTTTCTTTATATGACATAGCTCTTACAATTTTTACCGATTTCCATGTTTTTTCCCATTCCTCCGTTTTTATTGTGTGGCCTACGTTTTGTTCCCATGCTATCATACAAGGCTTTATTTATAGACAAGCTAAGGAAAACCTGAGGACTCAGTGTAATTATTATTATTATTATTGGATTATTATTATTATTAGTAGTAGTAGTATAAGTATAACAACTTTTGAAGCTGCTGTTGGCCTTGGTCTCCAGGTAACAGCACCTTCAGTCTTCATTTAGGATTGATGTGTTCTCTTGTCAGCATCTGGGGGAACCAGCGGGCCTTCCTGTTTCAAGACAGTGTCTTGTGGAAAGTACCTTGGGTGGGAATTTAAGGAAGTCACCGTGGCCTCCTCAGTTTCAAGTCCCTGTTCAAAAGTACTGTGAGCGTGCTGAGCTGTTTTCTCTCAGCCCCCATGTTCGGGAGGCACCTGTTGGGTGGGTGGGTTTCTTTCATTTCACAGAGGCCCCTGAACAGAGCAGGTTTCGTTTCAAAGAGTCAAACCTCGGAGGAAGTTGAAGTCACGGTATGATAAGAATGACAAAATCCAGGAGCTCAGAATGTGGGCCCTGCAGAATTAGTTCACCTCTGTATGGAGTGACCGTGGCTCAGAGGGAGAGCACTGGCTGGGCATGCACAAGGTCCCGGCCCAGGTTCGATCCCCAGCGCCTCCCATTAAAAGGATCAAGTAGTAGGAGAGATGAAAGATCTCAGCTGAGACCTTGGAGAGCTGCTTCTTCATTCACACCCCAGTTGGGACCCAAAGCAGCTTATGACCGTCTCTCTTTCTCCGTGTGATCCTCACAATAATCCCATGAGATCAGTTAGGCTGAGAATGCGTGCCTGGCCCAAGATCACCCGGTGAGCTTCGACGACAGAGCAGGCATTTGGATCTGGGTCTCCAAGCCCTTGGGGAAAGGGGGTTTATTTCTTTGTTCCTTTCCCATTTTGTCTTTTCAAAATGCCTGCTCCCTGATTTCTGTGCATGCACAAGAAAGAAGCGTGCATGCCCACAAAAGCTTATACCCAGAATTAAACTTTGTTGGTCTTAAAGGTGCCACTGGACTCAGACTTTGTTCTGCCTCATACCACTTCTTAATTTATTAGTTTTAAGCAGATTACTGAAATATAGAAGAAGCTAGGCCCCAGTTGAACAGCTGTGAAAATCTATCACAGATGCAGGGGTCATTTCGTAGTAAAAGAGGTGCAGGAGCTCATTAGCATAACTCATTAGCACAACTTATTTGCAACACCCCCTGGCATCACCGGAAGTGTGTCAGAAGGCAACACCCACCACTCAGACTCCACTGGACTGTTTTGGATTGCTAGCTATTGGGGGGGGGACGTGCAGATCTGTTCTCACAGAGGAGGGAGAGCTTGTACCTGAATAAAACTTGGTCTTACAGGTGCTACTGGACTGTTTTGGATTGCTAGTTATGGGGGGGGGGCGTGCAGATCTGCCCTCACAAAGGAGGGAGAACTTGTACCTGAAGGTGGGCCGGGGGAGGGGGAGCTCTGCAACTTACCTGGCTGCTTCTTGCTCCTCGTGGCCCAACGGAGGGCTGCTGGGAGAAGGGGGTGGGGCTTGTAACATGTGCCCGCCCCCTGGGCTCCTTACTGCCGGAGCTCCGTTCCTGTGCGCTTCTGCAGGAAATGACCCCTGCACAGATGCATAACATTTTGCAGCTAAAAGAGTGATAAGGAGTGATTATCTTCTAATAAAAGAGGTGATGTCTCCATATGATCTATTATTTTGAAACAAAGGAAGAATTAAAAGATTTCTAGGCTCTGAAAAACAAATGCATTCAAAGGTCACGTGATACGGGGTGTCTACGCTACCTGCACCACAGTCACATGCTCAATCAGAGTATGGTGTCTTAAAGATACCTCCCTTGCAGAACTCTAGACATTAGGGCGTTGAGGCGCGCCAACATAAAGGTACGCCTACAGCGACGAACAGTAAAATGTGAGCAGTAATCAGAAAGCTCTCCAGGTGGAAGAATACCAACAAATTGAGTAGAACAAACATGTCGTGCTCTACAGATTATACTGTTATAATCGTACTTAAATAGACATTTCTTGATCATTCATATGCCTTCCAGTCTGGTAGTTGAATAAAGGGAGTCCAAGGAAAGACTGAGGAACTATAGTCATTGCTCGACAAGTTAGAACGGATAAAACGGATAAAAGGGTTAGAATGGATAAAAGGAAGTACTTCTTCACCCAAAGAGTGATTAACACTTGGAATTCACTGCCACAGGAAGTGGTGGCGGCTACAAGCATGGACGGCTTCAAAGGGGAATTAGATAAGCATATGGAGCAGAGGTCCATCAGTGGCTATTAGCCACAAGGTATAGATAGGGGCTCTGGGGCAAGTGATGCTCTGTCTTCTTGGGGCTTGGGGGGGGTCAATAGTGGGAGGGCTTCTAATGTCCGGGCCCCACTGGTGGACCTCCTGATGGCACCTGGTATTTCTGGCCCCTGTGTGACACAGAGTGTTGGACTGGATGGGCCTTTGGCCTGATCCAACATTGGCGTCTCTTATGTTCTTATGATCATTCATATGCCTTCCAGTCTGGTGAATAAAGGGAGTCCAAGGAAAGACTGAGGAACTGTATCATTGCTCGACAAGTTTATCCCGGTGGGAATCATAAGCGTCCTCTCTGACTAAGCCGAGGTAGCCCTCTTGAATGTCGGAGTGTAAAATTTTAACTTTAAGGGCAAAAGCCTTCAACCAGGCCAAAGCTTCAAGAAATGGTTGTCCCAATTCAGCTCGGAGGGCTACCTTCGCTAGACAATTCGAAATTCTGCAGATGGGATGTAGGAATTTAAGAAGGATTGAATCAAAGGACTCCCCTATTTTGTCAGACCGGATACCAGCCCTCTCCTCTCCTGTCGTCTTCACACAGGTCCCGTGGAGATGGGCGTCAGGCAGTCTGCAGCCAGCGATCTCTCCATCGACCAGCCTCCCATGACAGAAACTGTCCAGGGCGCTTACAAAAGCGGAGAATTCGCTAAAGCCCAGGAGCTGATTAAAACAGCATGTCAGGAGAACCTCTTACAAGTGGAAAAGGTAAGGGGGCCGGGTTGATCGTTCTGGGCCGGAAGGCAAAGGGAAAGCAACTTCTGTGCTTCAGAGAGCAGGTGATTTTATTTTATTTTGGTAAATTCAGGACTTTTGAATAGGAGAACCGGTGTGACCCAGCGACCTCCTGTCGGTATAAGCAACAAACTGTACATGCCTTTCCTGTTGCCCGCCAAGTGTTTATGGGAAGTGGGTGGGGCCAGGTGAGGTTTTCCCCCTGCAAGGCTTCTGATTGGCCATTGGAGACTTGATTGGCTGTGCAGATTTTGTAAAAAGTTGCTTTGGCTGCAGCTGCCACCACAGCAGAAGCATCTGTAATGTAAGCTGTGGCGGCCACTTTGTGGCAGAACCCACCACACAATGTCAGAATTCTGTAGGTGCCCACAGGCTGAAAAAGCTTGAGGAGACCAGGCTTAGGGCAAATGTAGTCGTTGTTGTTGTTATTATTATTATTTATTTGCTTTATTAATTGCCCTGTCCCAACCTATGCCGTGCTCTGGGTGGTCTCTAATCTGGGAGAACCGGGTTTGATTCCCCGCTCCTCCACATGCAGCTGCTGGTGTGACCTTGGGTCAGCCACAAGTTCTCTCAGAGCTGTTCTCTCAAGGGCAGTTCTTGAAAGAGCTCTCTTAGCCCCACTTGCCTCACAGGGTGTCTGTTGTGGGAGGGCACGTGCAGAGGAGAGTCAGAAAGGACGTGGCTGCTTCACTGTTCCCCTGTAAATGCCTCTGGTGTTTGCAATGTCGTAGACAAGCTCCACAGCCCAGAGTAAGCCCAGCAGAGCAGGGTTCTCCAACGTAGTGCCCACCAACAGTTTTCCTGGTCCCCCCCCCCAGGTATTTTTAGAAACTGGATGGGGCCAGATGGGGCTTTTGCTGAGCAAGGCTTCTGACTGGTCATTGGAGATTGAGCAGCAGCTGCCGTCACGACACGAAAACCCTCGCTGTGTGACTACAGAGATAAGCTGCGGCTGCCTGGCTCTGCCTCCTGTGGCAGCCGTTTTGCGGCAGCCGTTTTGTGACTGCGCCCGCCACGCTGTGTCAGGATTCCAAAAGTGCCCGCAGCTCAAAAAGTAGAGGGTCTTGTGGGGAGTATTGACAGGGTGGAATCACTAGGTTGATGCCCCTCTCCAGGGCTCTTTTTGTAGATAAAGCCCAGCAGGAACTCATTAGCATAATAGGCCACACCCAACAGCAGAAACCCATTAGCATATTAGGCCACACCCCTGACAGCACAGCTCATTGGCATATTAGGCCACACACCCCCATGTTACCAGAAGTGTCCTCATCCAGCCACACCCACCTTTTGCTTCTTATTCTGCAAAAGGTAATTGTTTGTTGTCAAAACCCAGGGCTTTTTTTGTAGCAGGAACTCCTTTGCATGTTAGGCCACACACCCCTAATGTAGCCAATCCTAATGAGTTCCTGCTGTTGGGTGTGGCCTATTATGCTAATGAGTTCCTGCTAGGCGTGGCCAACTTGGAGGCCAGCCGGAACTCCGTTCCTGTGCGTTCCTGCCCAAAAATAGCCCTGCTCTCACTTGTCAAGTCTCTCCTAATAATGTCTCCCGTCGATCGCTGCACTGTCTCAGCAAACACAGCTTGGTCCTTTATTCCTACACCTTCGAGTCAACCAGCCAGGTGAGAGGGATTCTTTGTAGCTACATTGTGGCCTTCAAGGAAGACTTGGGTTCCATTTTGGAGGAAGCCACATTGATAACGGAGAGGAAAATGAACATTTGGGTGTGTTCTTGTAAGAAAGAACGAATTAGAAAAGGACCATGGGTGGGCAGTAGAAAGAAGAATGACGGATCCGTTCTCATCAAGAATTGTGTTCGCGTTAACCCAGTTCCGTGGAAACTGTGGAAAGAACACAGCAATTATTGAAATTTGATCCACTTTGTTTACCGTCGCTGTTGCTAATCCTCTGACAATGGGGAGTGGAAGGGGTTTTTTTATTATTCAAAAGCACCCACCAGCATTGGAGAGCACCATAATATTTTATTTTTAAAAAATGGCTATATAAATGGTGCTTAAATCCTTCCTCCCACCAAAGGAAAATAATTTTTCTGTATTTTATTCACTGGTTTTCAGCAGCAGGGAGGGAGCCGTTTCATATTTTCCACCTTAGGCATCAAAGTCGGTCGGTTTTCGCAAACTCTGACCCCTGTGGACTGCATGCCTGCTTGCTTCTAGAACTTTCCCAAACCACTCCTTCCCCTGATAGTTAACTGATAGTTACAATGCATTCTTTTACTGTGAGCATGCCCAGGTTATCAAGGTGCGTGTTTTCTGAAACTGCTGAGCAGAGGACGCCAAACATGTTATATGACTGGCCACCTGGAAAAAGAAGGACAAACATATTAGGAGAGTGGCTTGTTAGCATGAAAGCATGGTGGGTTTCAGTTCATTCCCGTGCTCTGTTCTTTTGCTTTCCTCCAGTGCCATCTGTTGAGCATTTCAGCTGCCTACGGGGACACACAAGCTGTGAAGTATTTGCTGAAGGAAGGTTGTGTGACATTACCCACAGAACCAAACGATGACAACCCGGCAGTGCTGGCAGCATATTTTGGGCACCACAATGTCGTGAAAGAACTGCTTGATTCTCTTCTTGGTAGGTTAAGGCTGCAGTCACACGAGCAGTCCACACTGATATAGTTGCGTTCCCTTTGTGTATTTAGAAGAAGAAGAAGAAGAAGAGATTGGATTTATACCCTCCCCTTCACTCCGAGTCTCAGAGCGGCTTACAAACTCCTCTCCCTTCCCCTCCCCACAACAGACACCCTATGAGGTAGGTGGGGCTGAGAGAGCTCTTTCGAGAACTGCCCTTGAGAGAACAGCTCTGAAGGAATTTGTGGCTGACCCAAGGTCACAGAAGAAAAAAGGGGAAAAAACTGAACCTAAACCTAGAATTCAGAACCTAAAAAGGTTATTCAGGAATAGAAGAGGGCCAACTCTAAAAATCTAATTATGAAACATACAAAAATATACATGTATTTATTCAACATAAATTAAAATAACACAAGGGCCCATTCATACCTCATATACAAATATAAAAACATACAAGGGCTAATAAGATA